AAGGGACTAGAGACGGCCCTTCTTAGAGTATCTCTAACCAGTTTCACCATTTTTTTTCACCAAATCCCATATATATGGTGGTACAAAAATGGGTTCATCTCTAACCAGTAGCACACCATTTTATTCTTCCACTGTTTTTGGTGGAAAAATGGTGTTTTTAGTCTCCCATGAGTTTTACCAAAATTTATACCAAATATTAAAATAATGATATTTCACCATTTCACCACTTATAGGAAATGAGATTTGATTTGGTCTCCCATGGCATTTCACCATATATGAACCAAAACTGTAAATCTAATGTTTATCGTAATTTTAGTATATTTTATTTCCTACACATTAATTATTGATCCAATTTTAAGTAATTTCTTTTAACTATATAATTTAAAAATTATGTTATCAATTTTAAAAAGACTATCTAAACATGAAATAATATTAACTCAAATTATTTTACATATAATAAAATCAGACATAAAGAGTATGTTTATCCCACAAATATAATTTAAAACATAAAAAATATCTCATTCACCATTGTTATCATCCACCATTATTATCATCATCATCACCTTCATTGATTTGAGTATGTTTATTCCACAAGTGTGCTACCAGTCTCCTTAGTTCATTGTACTTTTCTTGATATATCAGATTTCGATATCGACCAAGAAATACCGCATTATTAAAATCTATCAAAAGCTCAACAGGCGGGATAGAGGATGAAATATCATAGTCAAGGTTTGTGGGAGATTGAGTGTTGAGTGTAGATTTTACACTCAATACGTTTACTTTACGTGGATCTTTTGTTTAGATTTAATTATATTTGTGCTTTAATTGATTGATTTTGTGTTTTATAGGTGAAAAACGAGAATTAGGTGTCAATGAAGGAAAAAAGATCAAAAAGAAAGGAAAAAGTTGCAAATAAGGAAACAAATCAAATTGGAAGAAGGAATCTCGCCACAGCTTTGACAGTGTCCACGATTTCGAGCATATCTCTCTCATACGAACTCCGAATTAGGTGATTTTGGCGGCATTGGAAAGCTAATTTCAAGGGCTACAATTCTTATTTACAAAATATTCCAAAATTCGGACTCCAACATGGCGAAAATCGAAGAACAAGTCCTGATGGGGGAAAGTGGCGGAAATTGATTCCTATTAGGTTTCTACTACTTCCTTATCAAGAAAAGCCTATAAAAGTAACATGTCTCTACACCATAAGCACGAAATTTTACACCACAAAACACGAAGAACGAAGATCAACGAAGACTCAAGCATAGTTTTTCTTATTTATTTTATTTATTCTATTTTGCTTATCATAAGAATTACGAGTAGCTAAGTTTTTAATCTAGGATTTTGTTGGAACCCTATGTGGGGATGGTGAACCCGTTTTCTTGAGATTATGCAATTATGATTTTATGATTATTTCTTATACTTGTTATGATTGTTAGTGCATGAACTTGATCAATTTATGTGCTTTATCTGTGATTATTGGGATTGACTCGACAGAGCTATTTTGATAATTAGACGGTAAGTATAGGAACCTTCGAGTAGTTTTCACCGGATGAGTGTGTCAATTGCATGTGGTGTCGTAGACATACAGATATCACCTTAGGTAGCCATTTACGAGACTTGTTAGTTAATGCTTTATTCATAATTTGTTTGCATAGACATATAGTGAACCGTTTATGAATAATAGACTCATAATACACGCGACAGCGGGTTATGAGTAAATTAGTGTCTCGGGTTAATAATCATGAATCATATATTTCATAATTGAGGGGTTTTGGGTGAGCAATTCTTGCATAGGGGGAAGACAAAATCCTAGATCCGTTTTTATATTGATATTATCTCTTGTTTATTTGCTTTCCTAATTAGTTTAATATATTTAGTTGATTAAATTTGACAACCTTGCGTAGGCTGGATAAAAATCATAGTTGTTAGAATTTGGTACTTAGGATTAGGTAATTTGATTATTCCCTGTGGGATCGACATCCGACTCTCACGAGTCCACTTTTACTACTTGTTTGCGATACGTGCACTTGCGTGTTAGGTATTTAGCACCCAACATTGAACATCATAAAAAATAAAATCATTCTATTGTTGCTTATTATATTTTATTAATAGCAATTAGCGTATTAGTTAAATAAAGAAATTAATTAATCAACATTTATAAAAAAATAATTAAAAGTAAGCATATTTAAATTATTAGAATTATGTTTTTATTAATAATAACAAATGTATTTATATTTTAAAAACTAATTTAGTAATTAGCACCAATGTATTTATGATAAATATGCTAATAAGTTGGTAATTAGGTGCAATTAGTTAAATCGTCATTATATATGTTAATTAATAAAATGGTGATAATTACACCAAATCTTATTTTCACCTCTATATTTTGTAAGAAAAATAGGATTTGGTGGAAAAAAATAGGAAAATGATGGATCGGTAGGATATAAAAATTTGTTCACAAAAAAATTGGTAAAAAATAAGATTTGAGTATATGGTGATATGTGGGTTGACCACAGTTAGAGGTTAAAACTAAATCTTAATAATTTTAGGTGTAATGGTGATATAGAAATTTCGAGTGGGAGACTAGAAACACCTAAATTAGGTAAAAACATGCAGATATAGTGACCGGTCGGAGATGCTCTTATGACCCAATGTACATCTTAATTTTTTTTCTTTTAAAGATTAAAGTTTTATTACACGAAAATGTAAAAGAGAAACTTAATTGTTTTAACTTTCTAATTAATAAATGAGATCAGTATCAATTCAACAAGCTAGATATATTCATTGTTGCTCCTCCGGTAGATATTGATAGTATTCGTGAAAATATTTTTGGATCTCTACTTTACGGAAACAATATTATCTCAGGTGCTATTGTTCCTACTTCTGCAGGTATCGCTGCACTCTTACCCAATATGGGAAGCAACATCCATTGATGAATGGTTATACAATGGTGGTCCTTATGAACTAATTGTTCTACACTTTTTACTTGGTGTAACTTGTTGTTACATGGTTCGTGAGTGGGAACTTAGTTCCGTCTAGATATGCGACATTGGATTGCTGTGGCATATTCAGCTCATGTCATGTTACACTGCTACCGCTGTTTTCTTGATCTACCTAATAGGCGAAGGAAGTTTTTTTTATTTACTCATAAGCGTATTATTATGTAAAGTTAGAAATTATAGATTTAGTACGTTGTATCATCAAAGTCGAAACCGATCAAAAATATTATTTAAGAAAAAAATATTAATTAATTAAAATTAATATATTTTGTAGGTAGAATTTTCAAGTTTTTTGGAATTGAAGGAATCTTTTTCCAAATTCCCTCCAATGTAAAAGTTGGGGAAAAAAGGGAGAGCAAAGGGCACACCATATGATGAAAGTTGAAAAATAATGAAGGAGTTGGATTAGACTACCCAACCACACGCATGTATGTACCTCCATTCATCCCACGCACGCTTCTTCAATTATGTCTTTCTTCCTTTTTATTTTTTATTTTTTATTTTTTTTAATTTTGTAATAATTATTTATTTATATTTTTAATAATTGAAATTTGAACACAATTCTTTTTCGAAATTATTCATGTTCAAAAGTGTTGTATTTCATTAGCTGATGCAGGTAATGATAATTTATCTTTCAGGATAAATCATAATAAACATGCGTTCTAAGACGCCCGGGTAAAATGTTTTACACACTATACTCCAATTAATTCTAAATACATGTTAAAAGAAATCAATGAATAATTTACGTTTACAATAACCATGGTAATTTAAATATATACTATATAAATTCATTAATTTCTTCAAACATCTTATCACACATAATTTTACAATATATATTATATTAGAAATAATTACACTTTTGGTCCCTATACTTGCCACCTAAAACGATTTTAGTCCCTAAACTTTGAAGTTCACGAAATTCGTCCCCAATCTTACCACATTTTGACACTTTCGATTCGACCGTCAACTTTCCCAGTTAACTTGGACGGAAATGTCATGTGCGCCTCATGTGACACCTAGGTGGTAGTAAAAAATCCAACTGGAACACAATTAGTCCATCTGGCAGCTGTCCCCAATTTCTGTTCCCAAATCCCTATTTTTTTCTTTTTCTAGAGGTTGATTTTCTTGTTATTTTTTTTAGAAGATGTGATGGAGGAAAGTGGTGGAGAGGTGGAAGGTGACAATAGGTGATGGAGAAATGACAGATTTTAAGTTTGGAAGAAAATTAGGCATTAAATATTTGGGAAAGAGAAGATGTAAGGATGAGGTGAAAGGAGTTTAGTTCCAGCTCATTTTTAGGCTGCCAAGTGGACATCACGTGAGGCGCATATGACCGTTCCATCCAACTTAACAGGGAACATTGACGGCAAACCAAAATTATAAAAAAAATGGTAAGATTGAGGACTAATTTCGTGAACTTAAAAGTTAAAGGACTCAAATCATTTTAGGTGGCAAGTACAGAGACCAAAAGTATAATTATCCAATATATATTATCTTTCAAAATTTTGTCCAATAAAATTTTAGTAGCTTTTCAATTATATAAGATCCAACAAGAATTAGATTGTTATGTTATTTATTTATGGTAAATTACAACCACCTCCCTGAAGTAAAGTTTATTTACGAAAACCTCCCTCGTTATTTAGAAATTACATGCAACCCTTTCGGTTTGTAAATTTCTTACATTTGCCGCCTACACATGAGTGTTAACATAATAAATATACAAATTGCAGAGGTGGATGTAATTATAAAAAATCAAGGAGTTTTTCGTAAATAGACCTTACCTCATAAGCAATGTAGGATCTTTTCTTTGTTTTTGTTTTTGTTTTCTTTGAAATAATAAGGGGGTTCTTGAAAAACAACAATACAATTTTACACAATATTATTTCATAATTTTTGCTCTACTAAGTGGGAACATTGAAAAGCAACAATCTAAAACTATTTTACATGATTTTATTCAAAAAAAAATTGCACATTGTATGTTTCGTTCTTTAAAATAAAAAAATATTAGACTATATCTTGATTTCCCCCCTCTTTTTTCTCTAGAGGTCATCAACTTTTCATTTGTCTTTTTTGTAATGGAAATGTTAAGTCAACCTCACCTCATCATTTGGTCTTGGTTAATAATAATCTTCCTTTCACTTCCCACTTTTATTTCCTTTTCCCTTTTCCCCTTTTTTACTTTTTTTCTTCCTTTTTCCCCCCTCTCACATGATACTAATCACCTTTCTATATAACCACCACATTTTGTCATGAAATTAAATTTCAATTCCATACATGGGAATTCAAGCCATGAAGATTCATCACTTGGCACGTGCATTAATCTGGGATCACGATCCTCCTTCCCTCACCCTCGGCTGCAAGAAGCGCCTCCGCCCCCTCGCCCCCAAGCTAACCACCACTGCCGCCACCACCACCGCCGCCACTTTTGATCTCAAGAGCTTCATTAGACCCGAAAGTGGTCCTCCGAAAATTGAGTCGCCGCCGGATTATCAGAAGAAAGAATTAGCTCAGGTAATTATTAATATAATATGTCCGTACATTTTTTTTTGCATGCCTAATTCTGGTTTAAATTAAATAACTGAAGAGACAAATACCCATGCAGTTCTATTTCAATCATATTCTTATAAAGAAAAGATATGTACCCTAATTAGTAAATATTAGTACTTATAACATGCAATTGAACATATATAAAAATAAATTAATTTTGTCCCATATTTTCCTCAAAACACTTGACTTATCCATTTATTACAGAAGCACGGAGGGTGCCAAAAAATTGGAATTATTTCAAAAAGCGTGTTTTACATAATATAATATGGGATATATATTTTGATTTTATTTTATTAATGAAGGAACCCGCAGCCAACCATATAGGTGCATGGGTAAACCACACTCTCGTATAATATATCGTATATATAGGTAGAGGGTGCACAGCCAGGTGGCACAAGGTGGAACCCAACGCAAGAACAAATAGGGATATTGGAAATGCTGTACGGGAACGGAATGCGCACACCGAACGCCAACCAAATCGAGCAAATTACAGCTCAGCTCGCAAAATACGGAAAAATCGAAGGTAAAAACGTGTTTTACTGGTTCCAAAACCATAAGGCGCGCGAGAGGCAGAAGCAGAAGCGCATTAGCCTCGGCCTCAGCCGCAGTCGTCCTAGAACACCGCCTTCTCCATTTCCCGCCTTTTCTACTCCTCTTTTATCCTCATCATCATCATCCACTAAGGTAACTTTTATATTTTTTTTAGAGCTAAATTATCAAAAAAAAAAAAAAAATTAGCTTTAATTTTTTTGGCTAAATTACAGCAACCCCTTGAGGAAATGTCAAATTACAAAAAAATCCCTTTTGTTTGAATAATTATAACTGTCCACCCCTCAACTATGTATTTTTTACAAAAAGACCCCTTCTTCACTATGAAAATTTGACACCATAAAGATGGATGTATAAGACAATATATAGTTTATTTTGTCATGTATTTTATGAATAAATTCTATAAAAAAATTCAGGGGTGTTGCCCCAGAACCCCTGTCCGTACACTTAGCCCTGTCAAATATCAAATCCAGGCTCTGCCACTGCTTATTTGTTTAATATTATATTTAATACGTTGATGAAAAAAAAATCGGTGCAGAGCGAAGGGAGGCATGGTGAATTATTTGAAGATAATCCATACAAGAGAAAGAGCAGGTCATGGGCATTTGACCTATGCTTACAAGAAGATAACATTCGTTGTACAGAGGAAGAAGAAGAAGGAGGATGGAAAGATACGACGACCCTTGAACTCTTCCCTTTGCAGCCTGAAGGAAGATCTTGATTTAATGGATTATATTATTTATTTGAATTCTAATAAATGTCAAGTTTAACTTAATTTAACTAGTCAGGTTCTTTTGTAACTTTGCCTTAGTTAATTTCTAGCTACTAGCTGTGTTTAATGATTAATATTGCGATGCTACGTTTAATTATCTTTCGGAAATAAGTAAATTAAAGCAGCTATGTTGCGTTGAATGATCGGTTTTTCTTCTTTATCATGAATTGTTTCCGAACGATATGTTTGTTGTAATAATACATTTCTTATCTGAAAGCAAGCAAAATGCTTTTAGCCCTTTTAGAAGTGGAGCTTTTGGCAACTTAACTTTCTAGGTTATAAGTTTATGGGTTTCGCCGCAACATTCTAAGAAATAGTATACTTTTTTAATTGCAAAAAATCCCCTAGGGTATTTGTGTCTTTTTATGCCCAGTTAACGATTAAATGAAAAATGAGTCAAGTGTGCTATTTAAAAAAAAATAGAGGATTTTTTTTTGCTAGTTTATTTATCACATGGTGTTTTTCACTATTTCGAGATTATACAAGGATACTATTTGCAGTTTACTCTACATATATATCAATCAATATTTGTAGTAGCACTCAAAGTTGGTCGGATTGAATCATAAAATACAGTTTCAATTTTTTTTAAGAATTGAAAAGTCGATAAATATAGATTCCGGTTCGACGGAGTTAGAAAAACAAAAATTTATGAAATAGTTTTGTTTGTATATCCCACCGAGATATCATAAAATTTTAAATAATTTTAATATATTCTGAAACTTTGAGGATCAAATTGCAAACCTTAAAAAAAAAAAAGGATCAAATAGCAGATTTTGCAAACTTTAGGGAAAACCTGATAATAAATATCAAATAGCAGATTTTGCAAACTATAGTCTCCGACCCAAAATGCCCCCTCAACTACAAACTCGGATTGTTTGTACCTTTCCGTTAATATGCCGCCTGCAAATACTGAGATGGAGGTTTGACTGTTGCTTTATGTAATGAATCATTGTTTGGATCTGCAAAATGTGCGTCTATTGGCGGCGTATGTAAGGAATGTGACTAAGTTTACCACTTGGAATAGAATTTGCCGATTCCGATGCGGATCGCCGGAGCTCCGGCTTCTTCTCCGGTTCGAAATCAGATAAATTTGGGTATGGGTCGAGGCCTATGAGCCTGGCGATAACACTTGGAGATCGGTGTTGTTGATTTCCATCGGTGGCGCCACTTGCAATATTATTCTCACCGTTTGTTGCCACGGCGACGAAGATAGACATACCACGGTTCGGTTCAGTTCCGGTCCCGGTTCCGATTTTGGAGGAACCGGAACCGAACCGAATATTTCCGATTCTTTATGGTTCTCGGTTCTAATTGTAGAACCGGCCGGTTCTTAATAAAAAAAAATTATTACTATATTTAACTTTAAAAAATACTTTAAAAATAGTTAATTTTTAAAAAAAACAGTGGAAAAAAATACTTTAAAAACTTAATTTTTTAAAATACTTAACAAAAATATTTTTGTACTTTTGAAAAAAATTGAAGGAATTAGTTGTAGTTTTAAAAATTAAAAAAAGGAAAAGGTAAAGAAATTCAAAGGGCTTAAAAAAGAAAAAGGAAGGAATTAGTTGTAGTTATAATTAATATTTAATTTTTTTTCTCAAAAAAACTGGTTAGACCGGTTCTAATCAGCGGTTAGCGGTTTCAAAAATGGGGAACCGGAACCAAACCGATTTTTCTAGTTCCGGTTCCGCATATGGTCAAACCGGTTCCGGTTCTGTTAAAAAACTGTTGACCCCGGTTCCGGTTCCGGTTCTAACCGAACCGGTGGTCATATCTCGGCGGAGGTAGTTGTTTGGAACTGTTTGGGGTGGAGGATTCGTTGCTGAACTTCCAGGATGACTTGGTGCCTGATTTCAATTCGAATATCGGGAGAGGAAGAGGTGGTTTAGGCGGCAATTCAACCGCCGCCACGGCCGGAGGTGACCGCAACACCGATGGAGTCTGCTTTGACTTTTGTAGTGACTTAAGAGAATCAGTCGGATTCGGCGGCAATTGTAGAGCTGAGCTGATTTCTCCAACTCAGAAGTTGTATGAACCAACTACAATAATAGTAAAATTTAGGTATGAATAACAATTAAAACGTTTTAATTAGATGATGGAATAGAAAATGTAAATAGCGACTAAATCGTATTGGTGGAGGAAGGCGCTTGTGGAATAGAAACGTTTTTTTTTTGTCCACGTGTTTGGTTATAACGGAAAACCTAACGCCGTTTATGCTTTTGGCAGTTATACGTTGAATGAGTTACGGAGGAGTATAAACTGTCCCAAAGTATAAACTGTCCTAATTTGTTGTTGAAGAGGCATTTTGTGTTTCCATTTTTTCGTAATTACTAGAAACGTCTCCAATAGATGACATGACGTTTGAAACGTGGAAACGCGTGTGATTAATAAAATAAAAAATATATATATATGTGCAAACCAGACATGAGAATATATAAGATTGTCCATGCTAATTAACTTGCTTCAATCTGCAAATAACTTCAATATAATATATATGACAAGGTGATATATATACATTATTTTTCTGAACGACAACTAGCAGAAGGCACTCTAATATTTTCTGATCCATCTATGAATTAAATAAATAACACGCGAATCAACAACATTTAATTAGAAATCCAATAAATAAAATATTTCCTATTAGATTTGAGAAGATATACAATTATATATTGCAATATCAGAACCAGCTAATGTCAACGTTTCTATGAGCACTTAAAATAAAGACCAATTATTTCTCATTTTAATTATATTAAAAAAAAAGGTAATGACATTTAATAGTCCTAATCAAAATTAATACCACACAAATATAAAAGAATATTATTTTTATTTGTTTAAAACCACACACAAAACCCTCACACCCTCCTTCTTCTTCTTGGGAAGCCCTCCAAAAAATATCAGAATTCAAAGAAATCAAAATCTCACAAAATGGAGTCACAAGATAATAAAATACTAGTTTACATGGAGGAAAATCCATTAAATTATGTATCCATGTCATTTTTGTGCTTGAAAGTTGATTTTCATATATATTTTTTTTCAAAAAGCTGTCGCCTTTTTTTCGAGAGTACATGTGCTTTTATTTATTTTTCGACATGCAGGCGTGTAGGATTTCACCAAAATCGACATTTTAGTGTCGAAAATTGAAAAAGAAAATCAATACACAAACAAAAAAATTGGAAAAATAAATTGAACGGTCTATTTCCGATAAGTTGTTGTCAATTTTTTTAGGAAAATTTGACAGACAAGTGTCGAATTAGCCTCAAAATTTGACATGGATGTATCGAAAATTTTGAGAAAATTTGGCATGTTCAGGTCGAAAAACCTCAGCGAAACCTCAAACCAAATTCAAGGAAAAAACGACCAAAACAATGCAACCTAGCACCAATTAACCAACATTTAATGCTCAACGTACATATTTAGCTACTAATCATCCTATATTACCTAATTTACCAAGTTTTGGAAGCAATTTCAAAGAATTAAAAAGAAAATCAAGAAATATATTATATCTTTGTTTGTTTGAGGTTTAGTCTTGGTCTTCCAACAATGATAGTGGCAAGGATGATGAGGGTTCGCGGCAGGGACGACTGCATCGGCGGTGATGCTATGGTGGTAAGGCGGTGGTGCGACCGACGAGTTTGGAGGTTTGAGGGAGGGTTTTGCTAATTTCATTTTCTTTAGAAATTTGGTCTTCAACAAAGAAAAATGAGGAAATTAATTTTTCTTTTTCTTTATAATTTGTATATCAATGAAGGGTATTTTTGTACATTAAGGTATTAAATTCCTTCATCACTAGATAAATTTGACACCATAAGGATGGACGTGTAAGACAATACATAGTTTATTTTGTTATGTATTTTATGAATAGCTTCTAAAAAAAATTCGGGGGCGCTGTCCTAGAAGCCCTGTACGCAGGGGCGTACCTATGAGGTTTGCCTATGGTGCCCCCCGCCCCCCAATGTTAGTTAATGCACTTTCCCCCGCAAACTTTCAATTTTATACACTTTAGTCCATAAAAAAACTATTCTCTTAACTCACTCCCATACTCTAGCCCCGCAAGAAAAACCCCTTGGGTTCGCCTCGGCCTGTACGTGCACTTAGCCCACTCTAATATCAAATTCCTAACTCTGCCACTGCTTATTTGCATAATATTATATTTAATACGTTGATAAAAAAAAAAAAAAAAAAAAAAAAATCGGTGCAGAGCGAAGGGAGGCATGGTGAATTATTTGAAGATAATCCATACAAGAGAAAGAGCAGGTCATGGGCATTTGACCTATGCTTACAAGAAGATAACATTCGTTGTACAGAGGAAGAAGAAGAAGGAGGATGGAAAGATACGACGACCCTTGAACTCTTCCCTTTGCAGCCTGAAGGAAGATCTTGATTTAATGGATTATATTATTTATTTGAATTCTAATAAATGTCAAGTTTAACTTAATTTAACTAGTCAGGTTCTTTTGTAACTTTGCCTTAGTTAATTTCTAGCTACTAGCTGTGTTTAATGATTAATATTGCGATGCTACGTTTAATTATCTTTCGGAAATAAGTAAATTAAAGCAGCTATGTTGCGTTGAATGATCGGTTTTTCTTCTTTATCATGAATTGTTTCCGAACGATATGTTTGTTGTAATAATACATTTCTTATCTGAAAGCAAGCAAAATGCTTTTAGCCCTTTTAGAAGTGGAGCTTTTGGCAACTTAACTTTCTAGGTTATAAGTTTATGGGTTTCGCCGCAACATTCTAAGAAATAGTATACTTTTTTAATTGCAAAAAATCCCCTAGGGTATTTGTGTCTTTTTATGCCCAGTTAACGATTAAATGAAAAATGAGTCAAGTGTGCTATTTAAAAAAAAATAGAGGATTTTTTTTTGCTAGTTTATTTATCACATGGTGTTTTTCACTATTTCGAGATTATACAAGGATACTATTTGCAGTTTACTCTACATATATATCAATCAATATTTGTAGTAGCACTCAAAGTTGGTCGGATTGAATCATAAAATACAGTTTCAATTTTTTTTAAGAATTGAAAAGTCGATAAATATAGATTCCGGTTCGACGGAGTTAGAAAAACAAAAATTTATGAAATAGTTTTGTTTGTATATCCCACCGAGATATCATAAAATTTTAAATAATTTTAATATATTCTGAAACTTTGAGGATCAAATTGCAAACCTTAAAAAAAAAAAAGGATCAAATAGCAGATTTTGCAAACTTT